CTCTTAAGTAAATTCTAATGCAAGAATGGGTTAAAAGCTCTAAACAGTTAGGAAATTGAAACCACGTGACAGGTGGTTTCCCTGTTCCTTTTCTCGGTGTCCCCAAATGGCTCCCTTAGTAAGAGATTACATGGCCTTATAAAAACAAACTCTGGTTTTCTAGGGTATGCCAGGGTAGACTGAGTGAAAAGGAAAGCTGGTAAGGAAAGAGTAGCTTCTATAAACAATCTAGAATGGAGAGAGATTGTAATTGCTTTCTCCAAAGGAGGTCCCTTCACCAACTGTCAGGTTGAGCAAAACCAGGAGTATTACAAAGCTCATTCCTGGGAGGGGGCAGCTAGTGAGATAGTGGCCTAGGAAGGTTGTCTTTCTCTGCTTTCCTCAATGGCAGGATACAGATAAGATGTGTGACACATTCATGTGAAGTCTCCAAATATGAGCCCAGGATCCTCTTTTGTCTCCTGGGAAGTTTCTGCCTTTTAATGATCTCTCTGAACACGTGGGGAGCTATTTACAGGGAAAATACCTTTTATCCTCAAATTCTCAAAGCACAACAGAAGAAGGTGGTGTTTTACTTTTCACAGTTACTGAATGTTCTTTTCAGAGCTAGGTAGGTAGGTGGGTAGATGACTGATGATAGATAGATAGATAGATAGATACATAGATAGATACATAGATAGATAGATAGATGATAGATAGAACAGTTAATTTGCTTTTCTTATTTATAGTCAAGAATTATTCTATCAGGAGGATCCAATTTTCCACTTAAAATGTAAATGAGGGTTTATATCTTACATATTCATACTAATAAGGAACACATCTTGCTTTTCCTCATCACCGCAACTGTAGCCTCTCAAACATGCAATAGTCCTCTCAGTTCAGTTTCATAAGTGCAGCTATCAAAAATAAGATAATTTTAGGGGCACCTGGGTGGCTCAGTCAGTTGAGCGTCCAACTTCGGCTCAGCTCATGATCTCATGGTTTGTGGTTCAAGCCCCACGTCGAGCTCTGTGCTGACAGTTCAGAGCTTGGAGCTTGTCTTCAGATTCTGTGTCTCCCTCTCTCTCTGACCTTCCCCTACTCACGCTGTCTCTCTCTCTCTCTCTCAAAAATAAATAAAAACATCAAAAAAAATTTTTAAATAATTTTTTAAAAATTTCTTAGAGACACACACACGCAGTGTGAGCAGGGGAGGGTCAGAGAGAGAGGGAGACACAGAATCTGAAGCAGGCTCCAGGCTCTGAGCTAGCTGTCAGCACCAAGCCTGATGCGGGGCTCAAACCCACGAACCGTGAGATCATGATCTGAGCCAAAGTCGGATGCTTAACCGACTGAGCCATCCAGGCGCCCCAAAAATAAGATAATTTTTGTCTGTCTACATTTTTCAGCATAATTCATGTTGGTATAAAAATGTAAAAAATGTAAAATGTATTTTGTAAACATTCTACACACAGTATAAACATATTCATCAAATTCTGAGGATAACTGTTCAAAGTTCATCACTTGTTTGTTTCTGTAACATTTGAGTTGCAATAGAAGGTACTGCCCAGAATGCACTTGAAACTATTTAAAGACAACTTTATTATCAAAAATCACTATTGCCTAGAAATATTTCTCAAAAGTTTAGTAATTACTTTTTTGTGAACCATAGTTCAAATCAACTTTTTACTGACCTGAACTGACATTTTCCCAAAGAAGACATACAAGTGGTCCATTGTATATGAATAGGGACTCAGCATCACTAGTCATCAGGGGAATGTAAATCAAAACCATAACGAGATATCCAATCTGTTAGGATGGCCATTATGCTGAAGACAAGAATTAATAAGTATTCACAAGGATGTGGAGAAAGGGGAACACTTGCACACTGTTGGTACAGCCATCATGGAAAAACAGTATGGAAGTTCCTCAAAAAATTAAAACTACCTATGATCTAGCAATTCCATTTCTGGGTATATACGTTAAGGAAATAAGAGATACTTGCAATCCCTTCATCATTGTAGCATTATTCACAATGGGCAAGATGTGGGAAAATCTAAATGTCTGTCAATGGATGAATGGATATAAATGTGTGTGTGTACGTATATATCATAAGTACACATAAGAACACAATAGAATATTGTTCAGTGTTAAAATGAAGGAAATCCTGCCATTTTGAACAATATACATGAACCTGGAGGACATCACACAAAGTGAAATAAACAAGACACAGAAAACAAATCCTGTGTGATCTCACTTATATGGTGAATCTAAATTAGTTGAACTTAAAGATTAGAAAGTGATTGTCAGCACTGGAAGAGTGGGTATTATGAAATGGAGAGATGTGGGTCAAAGGGTATAAACTCAGTTCAGGGGTCTATTGCACAACATGGTGACTATAGCTACTAATACTTTATTGTATACTTAGAATTTGCTAAAGGTAGAAGTTAAATGTTCTTATTTAGAAAAAAAATAACTATGTGAGGTAATGGGTGTATTAATTAATTTGATTGTACATACATATATCAAATCATCATATTGTATGCCTTAAATATAAACACTTTTTATTTGCAAATAAAATAAAAAGATCCAATATAGGGGGATAAATCAACCCTTTCCTGAATTCTACTTTCTTTTTCTTTTTTTATTTTTTTTAATGTTTTTTTTTTATTTATTTCTAGGAGAGAGAGAGACAGTGTGAGCAGGGAAGAGTCAGAGAGAGAGGGAGTCACAGACCGAAACAGGCTCCAGGGTCTGAGCTGGCAGTCAGCACAGAGCCCGACACGGGGCTCGAACCCACGAACCGCGAGATCATGACCCAAGCGAAAGTCGGACGCTTAACTGACTAAGCCACCCAGGCGCCCCTCTACTTTCTTTTTCTTTAACATTCATTTAAATATTATACATTCTGAATTTATATTTTCATAACTAATGGTTGAAAATGCCAACAAACTAATTTATAATATACATTTTTTAAAGTAATTGTACTACATAGGCTAATGAAGTAAAGTGGACTTAAAAAGCTGAAAAACTCAATGAAAGTTATCATCTATTTGAAATGTATGCTTTCAAAGTGGACCTTCTAGATGTGCCTCTCTCATCTGGTGTCTGTAGTGTGCCCCTGCCCCATCCTGATGTACTGTAGTCACTGACAACATTTGCTCATTTCTCTCTCCTGTTTCCTGTTTGAAGAGCTATGCCAATGAGCCCAGCTTATAATGGGCCTAAAAAGATTTTGTTAAATTGTTACATGCGAGTGTGTCGTGTGTGTATACTACGTATAACACCAAAGTAGTAGCCTATTTAATTAAGCATGACTTTCCATTTTAGTGCTCACCCTAAGAGTTCTCTATTCACCTATAGGTAGAGTGTTCTACCATCTAAGTAGAGTCAAAACTACACTCCAGTGCAGCATTTTGACAGTTGAGCACTGTGGCAACTGTCTCAAGGCAGAGCACTTTTCTGTCTACAAAAATACTCCAGTACGTGCAGCTTTACATCACATGAGCAATATGATGTAATGGGATGGCCTTTTCTACTGAATTCAGCTATGAATGCTTTAAATGAAATTCTTTAATCCTTATAAAAATATCAATATCTTGATCAATTAATATATTAATTCAGGCTGAATTGTCTATTCCAGAGTCCGTTTCTTGCTCCCATTTTATTCTTATCTGCTTACTTGAATAATTTGTAATATTCTTGTTTTCACTCCTCTGATTTCTAGTTGCGGTAACTGTCCAGAGTTGTGATTAGTTATCTGAGAGCTAATGTACTTGACAGATTCAGCTTAGAAACACCTGACTCCCAAGTACTATGTGATTGATAGGAAGATGGGTCCTTCAGTCCCTTTATTTTTCACAAATTATTTATACATACTTGATTTCAGATTGGGATTCAGATTGAGGCTGGATGCTTGGTTCCTGAACCTGTTTTGAAAGCATAAATAGTACTATAGTTGTAGGATTTATATTATTAGCCTAGCTTCATATTGCTTTTTATGTTCCTTATGTTTTATGCTCCTTTCAGCCCCATTAACTCTGCCCTTTTTACTCTCTATTCCTTGTTTGCACATTGATCAGAGAAACTTAATAGAGACCAAATGATAACATCTGTCTTGAAATTATCTGATGCCCCCATCATGAATGCATACCTTCAGGTTGTTTCCAGGTTCCCCCACCCAAGGTTTCATGAAACCCATCATTCTGCTTCCATGTATTCACCTCCTTCCCCAATCACTATATGTAAACTGTTCCTAGGTTCAACAGAGCAAGGCAGCTTTGGGAACAAAAAGCAACGCACATCATGTTCATGGACAAGTCTGAGTCTGTAACAAGACTTAGTGGCTGCCCTGCTGCAGGTAAGCTATGCTTGCTTGGCTTTCATTATCACTAGAATCCAAGAGAGGAGGACTAGCCTAGAGCCTGAGGCTATGACTTCTCTCCTGAATTCTCTCTGTCTTGCCTTTAGAATGGATTCTGCTATGTAGAATCTTCCCCTTTTAAGGAGATTCCCTGAAAAAGGTGTCACAAAGGAGTAGGTTTAGTAGGGGAAGCTGCTGAAAAAAAAGGAAGTGAGAAAAAGGTGGCTGTCAGCCTCAAATCTCCCTCCTTCATACCCTTCCTCCCCCTTCTTGCCTTCTTTATCAATGAAGCATTTTTTAAGGCAGCAGCTCTTTGCCAGACCCAGAGCACAGCACATGTGGTGCTGTCCCTGCCTCCTGAGGATTTACCACAGTAGTGGGGGACACTGACAGTGAACAAATGCATGACATGAAGTGCTGCCACATCCATGGTGCATCTATGTCAGGGGGGAAAGAAGGGGTGCTCAAAGGGGACTTGTTATCTGAGAGGGGCCGCACACTCAGTTTATTCTTAAATCATCAGAGATAATTTAGGATTGAGTAGGCCTGGGCACAAGTGTTTACTCATGGTTGCTCTAAGTTTCAGACTGTGAAATAAGGCTTAGAGGAGAAAATCTCTTTCATAAAAATATTTATTAAACAACAAAAATATGCATCTAATGCTTCAGTTCTAGGAAATGAAACAAATCTATTACCTACAGCACAGAAAATGAAGTGGATGCACATGTCCTGGCTTTCCCACAGAGAACCATACTTGCTCACGCTGTGCTGGGAACACCAAGATTCTGCCAGTGTGGAACTGCGAGTTAGGTCCTCTAAGGTCCAGTCAGGAGTCTCCCCCTTCACTGAGGATGCTTTGTAATAGCAAGCAGGGAAGGAGGAAGAGAACACTCAGCATGTGTTGTGTGCTTAGTCCATTAGACCGTGCAGCAAGAAAGTCTTCCAGGTCTGAAAAAAAATCCCGAATAAGTAAGACACACTGTCATAGGCCAGCTTTAAGAAACTGAACCAGAGAGATCTGTACCTGCTCTGCTAGAGGCCCTACTCTGCTGGGGCCTCCTCATTAGACTCGCTGGTGCAGCTCTGCGCATAGATGCTTGTGAAGCCCTGTCCCATGTGACAGTAAGCTCACCTGGCAGCAGAAGGAGCCATCGCTGTGGGGTCGCAGCTCAAGGAAGATGTGCCTTCCTCTAGCTTTTATATTCCTTTCCTTGCAGCCAGAAACAATGGGATTTTTGTGTAACTTAGAGAGTTGAAGGAGAAAATTTGTTTACTGTTTTTAGGGTTTAGCTCTTCCTATGTAGCATGTGAGCTGACCAAAGGTGACCTTTCAGAGAATTCCACACCAAGTAATTTAACAATCAGGAGGAAATAGATCTGATTTGAAATGCAATAACATAAAACAGCTTGCATCCATGTGTTGCAAAGAAGATCCAACTTTTCCCCAAATTAGTCTTTTTTTAAAAAATATCTTTATTTAATTCTAGGAGAGAGAGAGAGACAGCATGAGCAGGGGAGGGTCAGAGAGAGAGGGAGACACAGGCTCTGAAATAGGCTCCAGGCTCTGAGCTGGCAGTCAGCACAGAGCCCGACGCGGGGCTCAAACCCACAAACCACGAGATCATGACCTAAGTGAAAGTCGGACGCTTAACCGACTAAGCCACCCAGGCGCCCCTCCCCAAATTAATACTTAATACTATGATAGGGAAAGATAGAATAAAGTAGGCAGAGGAAAAGAAAGGTTAGGACCCAAGGTCCCTGGATGGAGAAAAACACATATTTTGGAACAATGCTGGGAGGGATTGACCAGAAGAGTGGGACTGGGCCTTGGGAGTAAGCTTCCTCTTAGGAATGTAATAGATGCCTGGGTGGCTCAGTCAGTTAAGCCTCTGACTTCGGCTCAGGTCATGATCTCATGGTTCGTGGGTTTGAGCCTGCACTGGGCTCTATGCTGACAGCTCAGAGCCAGGAACCTGCTTTGGATTCTATGTCTCCCTCTCTTTGGCCCTCCCGTACTCATGCTTATGCTTTCCTTTCTGTCTCTCTCTCAAAAATGAATAAACACTGAAAAAAAAATTTTAAGAAGATTGTTGTTAAAAATAAAAACACAAAGAATGTAACAGACACCACCTACTCCCCCTCAGGTTCCCCTTAGGAATTTGACAATCAAAACACCTAACTAAAATAAGTGACCCATAAAATTTATGTTATACGAGAGACAGTATGACCACAGTCTGACTCCTCACAGGATCGAATCGCCAATCAGGAATAGACAATTGAGCACCTAGATTTATCAAGACAATAAGGGATCTGAGAAGGAACACGGGGAAGGGAGGAGGGGGGTGCCTACCAGAACCTTCTAAAACAAAGACACTTGCCTATAGTCATAGACATGCACTTTTAAATGCCCCCTTTCTACTAAGACAGTTTTCATACTATTCTTACTTCCTAATCTTATACTCTAATAAACTTTTGCCTGTTCCTCATTTTATTCTGTGTCCACCTCTTCATTCTTCAAAGCAGCAAGACAATGAACCTTGGGTATTGAGGTAAAAAATTCCTGCAATAACATCATTTCCTTTACTAGGGACTGCTTATTAAACAGGAGGAAAGTGCCAATTCCTAAAGCAATGGCTAATATTCCACAGAGAAAGTCACAAAAATGAATAGCTTCACAGCATTCTGGGGGCTCATGCCACACCCCAAGGTGCTCATCTTCCCTGCTGTCACAATGGGGTTTCTCCACAGTAGGTCTCCCTCTGAGCCCTAAAGGTCTATGATTCTAGCTCTCTGTATGGCTAGAACCCCAGCCCAAAGGTGCTGGGTGGGGCCCAGCAGAGGTCTTGGCTGAATTCCTTGCTGAGTGATTACATGTAAAAACCATAAGCCCCATGAGCAGGGATGTCAACTCTACTAGAACACTCTCACAAACAAATCTGGAGCTACAGGTGAGGAAGGCTGGGCAAGTAAGCATTCAGATGAGGAAGGGCCCAAATTTCTCCCCAGGACTCCTCAGCAGAGGTCAACCTGGTGTTTTCCCCACCCCGCCCCACACTCTAGACAGGGCTGCCTGGTCCTGCCCTCTGAATATGAGAACCTATGGTGAGCATGAAACACTGGAAATGAACAAGCAGTGATGACAAGCAACTGCAACAGGGATCCACTCTGCACATGTTCACAGGTGGGCTTTTGTAGGATCGTCTGGTAGGCTAGATTAAGGATGGGACTGAGGTCAGGCCCACTCTAGGCCTGGGAACCACTTCCCCATATCACCCCACCTTGAGAGAGGGTTGTTTCAGAGTACTAAAACCCCACAAAATAGAAGACCTAACATCTGGGCCTAGAGAAGACTCCAGAAAAGCTGATGCTAAGCCAGGTGCTCACAGTGTAAGAAAGTATTTAGCTGAGAAAGGAGTCAGCCCATACTGAGCTTCAGTGTTGACTCCCCACTAGTAGAAACAGGCTTCCCACAGGAAAGGATTCAGGCCCTGTTGGCAGTCATTTCTTGTATATAAACTAAAAAACTGTTTTAGACAGCTTTGTGAATTTGGTTAGACCAAGGCAGCCCTGTAAGCAGGGGTCCTCAAATTGGGACTGTGAACACCATGTGGTATCCCCCTCATGAAGCCCAAGGTTACCCACTGAGCTTAGAAAGAAAATATTAGAACTTCCACTGTACATTTATAGGAAAAATTAAAACTAAGGTTTAGTAATATCTACTGTATTTATTAGAATCTACCAAATCAATGGTTCTATGGCCCACCATTATTCACATCATACAAAAAAGAAAACTGTTACCAATGGATGAATTACTATAACCTAGGATTTTTATTATATACTTATAAAAAGGGCTTTTTTAGACTTGGTCAGATAGCAAAAATTTATTTTTATTTTTGAGAGAGAGAGGCAGAGTGTGAAGAGGAGAGGGGAAGGGAGACACAGAATCTGAAGCAGGCTCCAGGCTCTGAGCTGTCAGTCCAACGTGGGGCTTGAACTCACAAACTATGAGATTATGATCTACGCCAATCGCGTAGATTGGACACTTAATCAACTGAGCTACCCAGGCACCTCTTGCAGTGAAGATTATCATGTGTTTTAGTCCTGTGCATATGTATAAAAAGGAAGATATAAGTAAAATCAAGTTTGTACATGCTAGCATGGCAACTATCTTACCACCACTAAATGGGGAACATACTAAAGTATTTTTCCTGGAATGGAGTGGGAAATTAAAAAGTTTGGAGACCACCTTGGACGAGGATAACATCAGATTTCAATGTGATGTCTAGAACCAGCATTCCCAAAACTCTCCAATTTGTAGATACCTCTGGGAGCCGGATGGCTTCGTCTCCTGCCATGACATCCAGAGAAGCTTACCCATTGGAATTTCACCTATCATTGGAGGTGGTTCCCGGAGGGCAGGACCAAGGGTCTCTCCCTCTGCCATACAGCATGCTTGGAGCTGGCCAGGGCCAGGATGCTGGAGGGCCATCTCTCCCATAGGCCTATAGGCTGGTTCTGGCCCGAAAATGTTTGTTTGCTTGTATGGATTGATCGGCTGGTGCTGGAAATGTGTTTTTTATTTTAATGTTTTATTTGTTTCTAAGGGAGAGAGAGAGAGAGCCAGCGTGAGCAGGGGAGGGTCAGAGAGAGAGGGACATACAGAATCTGAAACAGGCTCCAGGCTCTGGGCTAGCTGTCAGCACAAAGCCCAATGCAGGGCTCAAACCCACAAACTATGAGATCATGACCTGAGCCAAAGTCGGACGCTTAACCAACTGAGCCACCCAGATACCCTGGGAAATGTATTTTTCAAAATCGGGTTTGAAGCATGAGGTGAGGCTTGACCTGACCCCAATATGACATTCACATTACCTGTTAACTTCAGATGGCACTTGACTTTGCTATTTCACTGTGTCCGTACTTAAGACAAATCTTAGAACATTAAACTGGTTCTTCAGGCTAATGAAATACTTAATTCTTTGGGACTATGTGTGGGAAGAACCACTCTGTTGGTATAATAAGATCTTGGGCTGGCTCAACACAAAGCAAAGACCGGTAGCTGGAATGTTGTCTTTTTTTTTTTTTTTAACTCTAATTAATTTAATGCCCCTCAATTACTGGATATTGTTCACAAGCTAAAAGGCACATTTCAGTAAACTTGTATATAAATACTAGATTATACAATAATTTTTAAACCTCATATTGACTTGAATACTGTTAATGGTAATGATAATAAAATTTATTCTGTGAATAACATGTAACAGGTATAACATGAAAAGTGCCTTTTCATCTTAACAAATCAATGGGATAAATATTCAGCTCTAATTCTGCAGTTGCAGAGACTGAAATACAAACAAGTTACTCAACCTTTCATAAAGATCATAAACATTACAACAAGTATTTTTTGAGATTTGAAAAAATATTTTGGAGGGATTTTCCCATGCTTTTTCTATTATGCCACACTGTCTCCTTAAATGCAAAATTAACAGATGTAAATGAAAAAAACAGTAAAGAGAATGATAGTTACCTGCCTAAAGCACATCATTTGTAGAACACTACAAATGGTTTAATTACTATATAATTATAGGTAATGACTTTTATGGTGTTTCTTCTTTTGAGCTGTATTTGGAACTAATTGGTCAAAGGTCATCCATTCAATATTTATTTAGAATTATTTTTCACAATTATTCACAAAGTATTATTTTAGATCATGGAACAGAAAAGACTTCAGGCCAAAAAACAAGATTATTTTGCATAAAATTTATCCTTCAACACATATGTGAGGGTAGAGGGTAAGTTGTCCTCATTTTACATGAGAAAACTGAGAAACAAATAGAGTTCTTCTGAATCAGAATGGAAAAATATGCCCTTGGGACTAAGACAGCCTTCATTCTTGGACTCAGACAGGACTGAGCAAGAAGGGTCCTTAGAGACCCTCTGGTCTTCAGGTCCCTGTAGGTGCCACAAGACCATGATCTTATAGTGTATTGTTTTCTATTTGTGATTCCTGCATCAAGATGTATACTTTTACATCATTATACTATAAACATAATCTTTTATTTTATCTTCCATCTGCTTCTCAAAATCCTCATAATATCCCATTATTTAAAACATTTACTTACCTATTACTCTACTGTTAGATTTAGAATATGGCCATATATTCAATATTTGAAATAGCACTACCAAAAATATTTCTTTAGTTTATATTGATAATTATTCTTATGGAAGAGTATAGAAATGGCACAATAGTTAGGACTCACATCCTGAACCCCTGTGCACTGTTGGTGGGAACCTAAATTGGTGTGGCCACTACGGAAACCAGTATGGAGGTTCTTCGAAAAATGAAAAGAAGAAATGTCATATGATTCAGCAATTCCAATTCTGGATCTTTCCCCAAAGGAAACAAACATACTAACTCAAAAATGTATATACGTACCTCCATATTCATTGCATATTATTTATAATAGCCAAAGTATGGAAGCAACCTAAGTGTACATTGATGGATGAATGGATAAATATATAATATAGATATGTCTAAATATAAATATGATATAAATCAGGATAAAATAAATTATACATGTATTTATATATAAAACACAAACACACAACAGTGAAATATTTTTCAGCCACATAAAAGAAGAAAATCTTGCCATTTGTCACAAGATAGGTGGACCTTGAGGGCATTATGCTAAGTTAATCAAACTGAGAAAGACATGTACCATATGCTTCACTTAAATGTAGAATCTTAAAACAAAACAAAACAAAAAAAAACATAGCTCATAGATACAGGAAGAGTTTGGTGGTTGTGGGTTGGTAGGTGGGCAAATGGGTGAAGATCAAAGGTCAGAAGGTGGAAATTTCCATTTGTAAAACAAATAACTAATGGGATTGTGATGTACAGCATGATGACTATAGTTAATAAAACTATATTGTATATTTGAAAGTTAAGAGTTTATCTTAAAGGTTCTTGTCACAAGAAAAAAATTGTAACTATGGGGGTGATGGATATTAACTAGATGGTGTGATAATCATTTCACAATATACACAAATATTGAATCATGTTGTACACCTGAAACTAATATCATGTTATATACAAATTATATCTCAAGTTTTTAAAAACTGTATGACTTATGTACTCCACAAATGGTAGCAACTTTATTCATAGATTAAATTAGTTATTATTATTCACAGAATAATGTTAATTATCATATCAATGTGCTATGGTATGTTTATTTACAATATTTTTAAATAATTGCTATAAAATATATTGTTTCTAAATTAACAACCAGCCTCTCATGATTATCTCTTAAATAACTATCTGGGGCGCCTGGGTGGCTCAGTCGATTAAGCAAGCGTCCAACTTCAACTCAGGTCATGATCTCACAGTTCGTGGGTTCGAGCCCCACATCGGGCTCTGTGCTGACGGCTAGCTTAGAGCCTGGAGCTTGGTTTAGATTCTGTGTCTCCCTGTCTCTCAGACCCTTCCCTGTTCACGCTGTCTCTCTCTCTCAGAAATAAATAAAACATTTAATAAATAAACAAATAAAATAAATAAATAGCAGACCCTGTTTATTTGCTGTAGGAGTTAATGCCTAAGATTCAGTTTCCTCAAATATAAAAAGTATAATAATACCTGTTTCATGGGCTTAAGAGAATTGAATGAAATAAAGTGTACGAAGTGCCTGAAATATACCGAGAGCTAACAAAATCTGCCATCATCATCATCCCTCATATCATAACCACTGTTGGCACAGCCACCACAGTCATCTGCTGTGAAAAAGGATCAATGGGTCAAAGAGTACAAAAGTGTTATTGTGCTTTCTGCATCTGACAATTCACTCTGAAACATGACTATTTTGTTCAACTTTCATGAGCAGAAGCCACATTTTAGAACCACTGTCACCATCCTTGGCAGTCAGCATTCCCAGCTTTGGATGTTTCCAAAGATATAAAATAGTAAGTAGGAAGCCTGGAACCTAGTCTTTGCTCTTCTGCTTCTGAAATCAAGCTGGCCTTGCACAGGAGACTGGAAATGATCACAGGTAGCCTCTTCCCCACATTACTGCTGGGAGTGCCAGTGGCACGTGGAAAATGACTTCACTTGTAGGACTACACAGGTTCCACCTGCAATATCAGTATCTGTTCCCTAATTTGTGTCCTTTCTCTGGAGTAAGAAGGAGCAGCTAGTGAATCATGGGCCAGCATATTGAGAGCCCATATGAGAGGGGGTGCTTTGGGAAATGTGGTAGGCATGACAGGAGGGAAAGATACAATGTTTTCCAATACTGTACTATAAACTTTCCCTACTGGCACCACCCACACTATGCACAGCTGGATGGGAAGGACAGGGCAGAAAGTGGGTTGTACCTTCATTAAGTATCCTTGAAGGTAATGCTACCCAAGGTTGCAGAAGAGGGAGCAAGGTAAAGAAATGTGGGTTGAAAGCTGATCATTCTTTCAGTGTGCTCCTCCACTACTGGTCCCACCAAGAAGGCAGGGGCAAGACTTGGTTTGGAGGGTTCTTACCCTCACTGGTGCTGCCCCTCCACTGCAGTCCTGGCAGTGCACAAAGGGGTGGGAAGTGGGGTTGGGCTGTGATATCCTTAAGTATGCCCTTCCACTGTGGGCTTTGCCTAGGACTGAAGAAGGCCAAAAGAGGAACATAAAAGGGGACTTAGAGTTTTGACTTCTCACAGCCAAGGCCATTAGGACTGACAGAACAGAGGGCTGAAGGGCTGTGCCTTCATTAACTGCTCCTCCCTGAAGTCCAGTCAGAGCATGCTAAACAGGGGAGAGGGTGCAGGATGTGGGATTGAAATGCTGTACCTTCTTTAACTGTGCCCCTGGAGGTCAACGGCAGAATGTTACATCTGTTTTCTGACCCAGGAAATTTCACGTTTCTTATGGAGTTTTAAAAGTGAAATATTTGACAGGAGTGCTGATGCATAGGAGCACATGTACCCCAATATTCATAGCAGCACTTTGAACAGTAGCCAAATCATGGAAAGAGCCCAAGTTTCCATCAACTGCTGAATGGATCAAGAAGATGTGGTTTATCTATACAATGGAATACTACATGGCAATGAGAAAGAATGAAATCTGGCCATTTGTAGCAACAAGGATGGAACTCGAGGGTGTTATGCTGAGCGAAATAAGTCAGGCAGAGAAGGACAGATACCATATGTTTTCACTCATATATGGATCAGGAGAAACTAAACAGAGGACCATGGGGGAGGGGAAGGGGAAAATAGTTACAGAGATGGAGGGAGGCAAACCATAAGAGACTCTTAAATAATGAGAAAAAACAGGATTGATGGGGGTGAGGGAGAGGGAAAGGGGGGTGATGGGCATGGAGGAGGGCACTTGTTGGGATGAGCACTGGGTGTTCTATGGAAACCAACTTTACAATAAACTACATTAAAAAAATAATTAAAAAAAATAAAAGTGAAACATTTGCACTGAGTTTGCTCCCTGCTCAGAATCCTCACAAATGAGCATTCACCCCTTGTGTTCACTACACCCTGCTGGCTTTTAATATGTGTGGCAGGCCTGAGCTGTTACAAGGCACCTTCCTTCTCCGGGAGCACTACCTGGTGGGCTGTAAAGGGCGACGCCTAGCCATTCATGCCTGTTTCTGTCCTGCTTTAATGCCCTCCTCATTTCACAGTTGGAAGATGGTGTTGGTGTGCTGTAAGGAAATCACTGGAGATTTAGTTGGGTAACCTGTCTGCCAGTCTTGGCTCGGCTTACCAGCTCGTGTGCTCCCCAAAGTCGGCTCACTGAAAGGATACTTGAAGAACACTGGAAATCACTTTTAAACCCAGCAATCAGGGCAGAGTAAACGTAGGAATAAAATTTTAAATAATAATAATGATACTATGCTGATAATCACCTAATGATAATGTGATTCATAACGAATGTGACTTTCCTAAGTGATTAATTTTTGCTTATTTCTGTTTTGCCCGGCACAGCCAGAGCTCTACAGATAGGTAGAGCAACCGTCTGCATGTGTGGACTGTGCTAATAGGAGACGGGTACTCTTACCGCAGCTGCCAGGTGTCTGAAGGGGTAGGCAGTGCAGGGCTGCGAAGACACACCTGCAAAGGCGGCAGCCATGGAAGGTCCAGGCTCCGTGCTTCACCGCGCCGCACTCGCTGGGGAGGCCGTGAGGCGGAGTTAGCGTTGCCTACGCGCTCCCTTCTCCCACGCCCATCCACGCCCCACCCCGCACAGGCCCTGCGCGCCCTCCCATCCACTCCCGGCTCCCCTCCCCTACACTCCACCTGCGAGCCCCCAGCGTCCGCTCCAGTGCCCCTGCCCCAATGGTCCCGTCCCAGCCACGGCAGCCCGCTCAGTGAAGCGCTCACCTGTGCCTCTGGTCATGCTCGCAGTAACGGCCGGTGAAGTGGGCGGGGCACACGCAGAAGCTGCCCAGCACACAGGTGCCGCCGTTCCTGCAGCAGCGCAGCTGCTGGGGCTCACCTGTGAATGAGTCGCCTGGATGTCAGCCTCCGCCTGCCTGTTGGTGTCCCGCGTTAGACAAACCCGATGACGGCTTCACGAGATCGCCCCAGAGAGGCAATAAAATTTAACTCCCTGCTAAGTGTGTTTGCTCAGGTAAACCCTACTTGTTAATTTAAGGATTAAAAACAAACTGCCAGGGGTCCCGGAGGGTCAGGAAACAGTCCGAGGACCCAACGAGAATCCCTGCTCCCAGCAAGTAGGATTTTCTCTCTTCATTCCTTTCACATGTTAAAGTCAGGCTTTGACATCCCAGGACAGTGATTAAAGACAGGCCTCCAGGGCGGGGACCACCCACGGTGCGACGACTGCAGAAAACTCTCACCTCTCACCCCCGCCAGAGGGATCGCCTAGCCCGCCACCATTCCCAGGGCCCCGTGACTGGGGGTCTGGAGCCTGAGAGTCTGCAATAAGCCAAGCAGGGGTCCCTATTATCTGGGGTGGGATAGTTGTTTTGAATGTATTTAAATCGCGGTTCTCTGGACCTGAGCAGATGGAAAGTTTTACCAATGAACTAGTAAAACTTTTTTCAGAGCAAAAGAACACCTCTCTAGGAAATATTTTTCACTTTATAGTGTATCATCATTTGAAGATGATAAAATGTTCTTTGTTGGATTTTTCATTTTATCCTTAATTTATTCCAGGTTTTTCTCAGATCCTAAATTGGGATACCACAGACTAAGATGACCAAAAGGTAATGTGGGTGGCTTCGCTGCTTATACTTACGCTCTTGGAGATTCGGGAAGTAGGGAGGTGAATCCTGGGGCCTCCAGCCTTTGGCGCTTGCATTCACCTCCCCAAAATTATTCAGGGTCCAGTTGAGTGTTTTCTGCTGGAGCTTTTGGGCTGTGGCATTGTTGATTTCTTCTCTGTTACCTTTATGTTTCTCTCTGTGATAACCTTTTAAAAACACTGAAAATATGAGACTGATAATGATTACGAAACAAATATACAATAAAAAGTAAGAGACTATAAATAAAATGCTTCTTACTGTTGTTTCCCAAGTGGATGATCTGTAATGCCAAACTGGTAAAAAACAGAAACCTAGAATATTTAAAGAAAATTACTGAAGTTTAAAATATTAAAAGTATAAGTAGAAATTTACACATGTTCAAAATGTAATACAATCATATAAAAACATAAATCTATGCAATATTTGATGTGTAATAAATATTATGTCATCAGTTTAAAACTTGTAGATTTTAATTAATGTTGTCATGACTTAGAAAGATTTAGAGACCAAAGAAATGTACATATCCCTTAATGAGATGGAACAAATGTGCATGCATTGCAGTTTATTCTGGAGGCTTTAAAATGCCCCTCTTGGCTCTCAGATCTGGAAGATCTGTGTCCTTACCTAACAGGGTGAAGCCGGACCATTTTCCCACTGACACGTCTGGTGTGAGAGTCTCCTCTCATCAGTGCACTGAAGACCAATTTCCAAGAAGCTCTAATATGACTGGGTTTTGTATTTGAAGGTATCTTTAATCCAGCCCTTGTAACAACTGCATTAGTGCATAAGATGGATAAGTAAATAAAATACAGGTATTTCCTACCCTCTGCCTAGGCTATGAGAAACAAGAGTCAGATCTCTGGGTTCCACTGTGGAGGCCCATTAGGCAATGACCTGCTGTGACAGGCAGGGCCCATGCTGAGCCTCCAGGACTGTCCCCTCAATGAGATCTGGTGGGGTGGGGGGTGGGGGCCAGACACGGGCTGATTCTCTCCCCAGTGGTGTTAACAGTGTTGACAGCAGCAGGAGTGGTCCACCCTGATATAAAACATTTGCGGCTAAGGCAACAAGCCTTTCCCTCACCAAAACAACAACAACAGCAAACAAAAAACAAAAAAATAAAAATCCCAACATGAACAAAAACTTTTCACAGGAAAATAGAAATTTTATGTTGCATACTCCTTGTACTGATAGTGAGGGCTTAGCTAAAGAAGGGAGCCATTGTGTGGGATATAACCAGCAGGTATAGATCCCAAAAGTCTTGGGGAGCATGGATATAAAGACAGACATTTCAGCATCTATTTTCTGAGGATGTATCAATACTTTAAAATACTTTAACAGACTGAGTCTTTTCTCTGTGCCCAGCATGGTGACAAATATGGTACAGCATGCCCCTGGGGAAGTGTTATTATTATGCCCCATATAAAGGGAGGGGCAACAGAAGCTTAGATTCTAAGTCCATTGTGGCAGTTAGATCTTTGAAAAATATGAAATGTACAGATTTTATGAGAAGAAGCCTACAGTGTGCTCAGTATGTGAAGACTACTGAGTACAGAGGTGACTGCTCCTACTCCCTTCATTGTCTGATGTCAAGCTCTGAATCCAAGAAGGGTGTAATTGCCAAAATAAGGACCAGAGGCCTTTTATCAACACTGAGGAAGATAACTTGCAACTCTGGGGCAAATCATTCTGTGATTTTAATATAAAAACTGCTTTCTAAAAATAGCATGTTTCCTCCAAGGTGAAATAGTCTTTGATACTGATTAAATGTTAAAACATTTAAATGTGAGGTTTATTAAAGAGGCTCTTACATAACCCAATAGGGAACTGGTGAGCCTGGCTGCCATGGGGCCTCCCAGGAACCAGGTCTGTGAGTTGCCAGGACCATGTCAGGACCAGCTGACCTGGTTGGACAAACCATGTGGAAGATGGTACCTCATACCTTCATAGAAACATCTGTAACTGGAGTCATGACAAATACACTTTTAAATGTAATGGTTATTACTTGTGAAGTGCATAATTTAGTTATATGTAAAAGTGAGTATATCTGGGGCACCTGGATGGCTCAGTAGGTTGAGCATCCAACTCTTGGTTTCAGCTCAGGTCATGATCTCTTGGTTTGTGGGTTCGAGCCCTGCATCAGGCTCTGTGCTGGAGAAATTAAGTATATTTTATGACTTTAAATCAGTAGAAACTTTTATTCAAGCAAATGGGTTGTACTAAAGTAAAACCATGTACAAGCTAAACAAATATATTTCTTTGAATAAGAAGATTTAAAACTATTCAGTTTGTAGGATAATATTGAATCCAAGCCTTTCTGAGAACATTAAAGTTTTAAGAATAATATCTAAAATCTAATCCCCCCCAGTTTCTTCTATTAAATTTTGTATTGTGGACATTATTTTTTAATTTGCAATCTGATTCTTTTTTTTTTAAGTTTATTTATTTTGAGATAGAGAGAGAGCACAGGGAAGGGCAGAGAAAGGGAGAGAGAGAGAATCCCAAGCAGTCTCTGCACTGTCAGCACAGAGCCCAACTTGGGGTTCAAACTCACAGACTGTGAGATCATGACCTGAGGCAAAACCAAGAGTCAGATGCTCAACCAACTGAGCCACCTGGGTGCCCTTCTATCATGGACATCTTTGAACATACACAAAAGCCAAGATAATAATGATTCGATAAACTGGGGTTCATCAATTAAGTATCCATTTTTGCCAATCTTATTTATTTTCCCCACTCATATTTTTTTTCTGGAATTTTTTAAAGCAAATCTCAGACATCATGATATTTTCTTTGTCAAATAAGGTGTTGAAGATATAAACTTTATAAAATGAAACTGTGGGAAAACGAAGGAAATGTCTTGCCAGCAAGACAAGATTGTGAGTCTAGAAATATGGATGGAACGTCCCATCTCTAGGCGTTTGCCTAAAACCTAAAGTCAGCACCAGGGAGGGAAAGGGCTGATGGCCTAGCAATGAGAAAGCTGCTCATACCTGTTTTTCAGCATCCTGTCACTTGCTCTCATTTACTTACAGGTATTGTAAAAAAGAAGTTTGCATTTCATGGCAGAGGAGCCCAGGTTTGCTTAGTTAATGAGGCCCAGCTGGCCAGCTGGAAAGGGCTGCCTGGGAGAGGCTGTAAGCCTAGTGAAGGGGAAATGATCCCCTCTCTGAGGAAGGTTTTTTCTTGTTATCAGTTGTAAATAGATGAGATTGGAGCCGCCTCACTCACCAGACCTCCACTCATACTTGTGACTCATTTTGAGCTGATATAAAGTGTGTGGGAATTGGGACACCTTGTTCCAAGATTGGAGACTACCCCACCCCTGTGTCTACAGTACTTCAGACAACCTCAGGGAGATGTTCTGCAACAAATTAGGTGTGAAGGAATTCTCCAAGAGGTACTTGAAAGCAGTAGTTGCCTATGTGTGCTGCTCATTGGGGTCTCTGGGAAAACTGAATCCGTCCTTAAGCCACACCTCAAGCCCAACATCAGGATTTTTTTTTAACCTGCTCAGGGGACCCCAGTATACACCCAGGACTGTGATTCTGCTGTCTGTGTTTTATGTGACTTATGTGTTCCCAGTGATGGGAGTGCTTCTTTCTTGTTGTTGCATTCCTGCCTTAGCTCCGTGCCTGATGTATGGTATCACACAATCTGATGTTATTCATATGAATAAAAGAATACATGGATTATCATACTTACACCCATTTTTCAGTGAGGAAACTGAGATCTAAGAAGTTAAGAAACTGGCTTGGGGATGTATGATTAACAAACAGCTGTGTGGAGGCTTGAACCGAGGTTCATCTGATGTAACATCTTGTTTGATTCAAGTTGCTTTAAAATTATTGTGTTTAATGTAGACCAGGCATACTATACTCACTGAATTACACATGTTGTTTTATTCTATTGTCATCCATTTTATGACATATAAACTAATTTCTCCATTTTATAAATGAGAAAAGTGAGGTTTCAAGAGTTGAGGACTTGCACAGTGCCTCACAGCAGTGGCCCAGGTTGTTGAAAGCTGAGCCGTGGCTTGAAACCGTAATAGCATGCTGCTGCCCCCTGAAGCAGGCTGAGGGCTTCTGAGTGGGCACAGTGGAAAAGACTAGGTGGAGGGGCACTGCCCCAGTTGTACACTGTAAGGGAGGGGGTTAGAGACCTGAAAGTATTTACCAAGACAGGACAGTTACAGGGCAGTTACAGGATGTGGTCTCTGGAAGGCAGTGTCGAGAGCATTGTCTGGTTGAGGGAGGGAGGTGTCCTGGAAATAACAACAGGAACCACGAGGTTCCCTTGGAAGGGTAGAAGGGCAGGAGGAGGAGCTGTGGGTAGAGACATGATGCAGGAGAAACTATAGCATATAGAAAGACCAGATGATGGGGGACCTCCTGGATGCTCCTGCAAGAAGTCATGAAGCCCTGAATAGGGAATTTAGAGAAAAGAATAAATTCTAAACTTATATTTAGCAACCAATATCATTTTTCTCTAATTTCAAAAACTGTAATATATCCTCATGTTAGTGTTAGGGTGGCTGGTGACATGGGTGGCAAAAAGTTGCACAAAGAGTGGAGGACAGCAAGCAGGACAGTTTATTCAGTCTCCAAGGGAAGAGGGGGGCCAGACATCAAGAAAAATGTCAGCCTTCAGTCTGGTTGGCCTTTTAAGGGGTTTTGAAGGATGTCCAAGGGTTGCAGCTGTGCTCATGGTGGAATGTGGGGAGGGGGTAGATTCTTGGCCAGGTAGAGCAGGAGGTGGCAGGTTTCTTGAGGGGCTCTGTCTTGGGCTTCTCCAGGAGGGTTCTGGATTATGGTCAGGCTAGAGAAGAATGTTTTGTAGTTGGCGTCTACTTTCTGAGAATGTTGGGCACCATAACCTAGAAAAACAGAGTTAAGGCCAAGTGCAGACACCTATGAGTTTTGTCTGTAAGTGTGAATAGATTCCTTTCAGTTAGTTTGAGTAGAAAAAAAATGACAAAGAAGTTAAATATCACTTATACTGTCATTGTTCAGAAATAACAACTATTAGCTTTTCACCCAGGTCTTTTATTATTCCCTCATGTAAAATGTGAGGAACTGAGCTTTAGAGCTTCAATCCTTTTTGGCAGTTAGATCTTTGAAGAATATGGAATGTACAGGTGTTATAAGAAGAAGCCTGTATGTGTGCAGTATCTGAAGATTGCTGAGCACAGAGTAACTGCCAGCTGTCATTGTGCCGTTTTTTTAAAAATTAATCCTAAGTTATTTATGTATTTTAATTTCATTGTAAATGATACTTTGTTAATTCCTTTCTTTGCTGCTTGTATTTAGGAATACAGTAGATTTTATTGTGGTAAAATATATATAACACAAAATGTCTTAGCTCAGGTTGCTATAACAAAATACCATAGGCTGAGTAGCTTAAATAACACACATTTATTTCTCAGAGTTCTGGAGTTTGGGAAGTCCATGATCTAGGTGCTGGCAGAATTGGTTCCTGGTGATGTTTCTCTCCCTGGCTTGCAAACAGCTGCCTTCTCATTGTGTACTCACAGGACAGAAAAGGGGCAGGAAGCAAGCTCTCTGGTCTCTTCCTGTGATGCGCTAAACCCATCTTGAGGATCCAACCCCCATTCTCTGATCTAAACCTCCCAAAATCTACTTCCAAAATCCTATCACATTGGGGGTTACAGTCTCAACATATGAATCAGGGGGCACAATTCAGTCCATAGCAAAAATTGCCATTTTACCATATCTAAATTTAAAATGCATTGGTATTAATTATAGTAATAATGTGCAGCCATCAGCACTGCTTAAAAGCACTTTCACTACTCCAGAAGAAACTCTGTACCCATTAAGCAGTAACTCCCCACTGACTGCCTACCCAGCCCCAGGTAACCTCTAATCTATTTTCTGTCTCTGTGAATTTGTAAATTCTACATATTTTGTGTAAGTAGAATCATATAATATTTGTTCTTTTATTTCTAGATAATTACTTAACATTCAGGTTCATCCATGTTGTAGCATGTATCAGAACTTAATTTCTTTTCATAGATGAATAGTGTTCCATTGTTTCTATATATCACACATTTTATTTATCCATTCTTCTGTTGATGGACACTAGGGTTGGTTTTAGCTACTGTGAATACTGCTGTAATGAACACTGGTGTATAAATATCTCACTTGAGTCCTTGTTTTTAATTATTCTGAGTATATACCTATGAGTGGAACTGTTGGGGCATGTGGTAATTCCATGTTTAACTTCTAGAGGAATTATTACACCATTCTTCATAGCAACAGATGAACTTTCCCTCACTGCATCACAAGTACAGTGCAAGTAAGTAACCCTTCACTCCAGAAAGGTGGCCTGCTGGGTTGGGGCAGCTCCTATACACACTAGCCTAGAAGTCCAGGGTGCCTAAGGGTAGGAGGGGCATGGGCAGCGATGTGCATATATAGGACAATCTGAAGGTGCAGCCAGGCTCCTGGGTTTGTCCCATGAATCAGGGAGATGGAAGCATAATTTGGGCCATGGGTGGGGACTTTGGGAACACATGAAGAAAGCATTTTTTTTTCCCCAGCTGTTGGCAGTGCTGCTGGCAGACAGCCTCTACCATCAACCCCTTTGGGGATTTGCCTGGCTAAAGGGAGCCACCTCACCCACGATTACCCTCCCTTTCCCTGTCGCTGCATCCACAGTCTGATCAGTGCAGGGGTGTGCAGGTCCAGCCCTCTTGCCCCAACTCAGGACAACTCTAAAGGTTCCAGAGCTGCCCATGGAGCTGGCTGAGCTCTCCAATGGGACCATATCGCAACCCAGCTCCTCCCTTTGCCCAGCACTGCTTCCAGCCCCTCTCTGAACAGGAGGGGATCTCAAGAGCACACCCTAATAAACATCCTGCAGACTAGTCTCTCTATCCCAGGATCTTCTGCCCAAGAAACTCAAATTGTGAAGGGCTGTGTTATGCTGTCTTCAGGTTATACCTGATTTCCAGGGGTCATCATAAACCCAAGGAATCAGGTGAGGGTAGGGGAAATGATGATACAGCCTTTCATTATCATCTGCCTGCACTGTCTCACGGAGATGCCCAACATCCCATCTGGTCCTCAGATGGATTTTCACACTACTCCCTGCCGAGTCAACCCCCAGTGGTCTCTACCAGCCTTTTGGGGTCAACACTTTATGTGTGTCCCTACAGGCTCCTGGACATTAAGGAATCTACTCTTCTGCTCCCACATCACGCTGGGACCCAGGGGACTCTCTCTAAAGCCTTACCTTTATGTGCACATCACACAGCCATCTCTCTTTGGGGATTTGCTATTTTCCCAGGCTCAAACCCAAAAGCAATACCTACCAATCTGCTCTCAGAGCTATAAACCTATTTAGAAATGTCTGTGTCGTTCCTCCTCCTTGGACTTGGCCTGGGAAAAGGAGCAGAACACAGGGCCCCTCCATGGCAGATTTCAGATGGCTACCAATTCTGTGACATTCCCCACTTAAAATATAAGATATATGTCCCCTACTATCAAACATGGGTGCACTCCAGCAATATATCACAGCAAAACTAACACTGTGACTTTACCCATAATTGGGCCCAGACCTTAAGAATCTAACAGTTTCCTGCCTCTTGAAACACTTTCTGGAAGCCATGAGACACCAGGTAAGAAGCACAATGACCCTGAGCCCCTCAGAGAAGCCATATAGAGATACACCAGTCATCAGTCCCGCTGAGCCCAGCCTGCCAACCACAACACCACATGAGTGAAGCTTGGGACCTTGAGTGCAGTCAGCCACCAGCTGAAAACTATTGAGTGACCCCAGTTAACACCACATGGAACAAAAGAATTGTGCAGCTGAGACCTGCCTGAATTCCTAGCCCACACAATTGAGATATAATAAAACTGTTGTGTTAAGTTGCTGCTACCCTTTCTCAGCAACATCATTGACTTCTTTGTTCTCCTCCATCTCTATTCATACCCCCTTTGGTGAAACTTTGCTGGTAGAGAGGCAAGACCATACAGAACTAGGAACTAGAATCTCTACTTCTAAGTATCATGTAGTCTTTCAAATTCCCCAGGCCTGAGAGTGTCCTTATCCTGTCAAAGGTTTGGCTTTTGGAACTCAAAAGCCAGGATTCTTAATTACTTTCTTGTCTACTTTCCGCTGTGCCTTCCCTTCCCTGAAGGCAAGGAATGATGGAGGGTTTTGCTGCTAAACTGGCATGGTGGTGGGAGATCGTGGGAGGAAATACAGACAGAAACAGGAGAAAACATATACATATACTACCACCCACAGAATTTTAGTGACTTTGGAAATCAAGGTCTAAACCACGTCTGTTAAAGAAAAAGAAACAAAGACAAAGGAAAATGAGGTGATCAGCGTAATACACAGGGCAGGGAGAGAACTTTACACCCCAGGGACTCTGACTTCCAGCCCTATGGTCATTTGGCCAGTCTTCCAAAATATGTCCAGGCATAGTTATTTGAAGTTGAATTATTCTTTTTTTTAAATGTCTATTGATTTATTTATGAAAGAGAGAGAAAGAAAGAGCATGAACAGGGGGAGGGGCAGTGAGAGAGGGGATCTGAAGAATCTGGAGCGGGTTCCAGGCTCAGAGCTGTCAGCACAGCACCTGACACAGGGCTCAAATTTACAAACCATAAGATCATGACCTGAGTTGAAGTCAGACACTCAACCGACTGAGCCACCCAGGTGCCCTTGAATTATTCATCTTAAAAACATAATTCACTCTCATACATCACTGGTGGAAATGTAAAGTAATGACTTTAGACTGTAATGACTTTAGACTGCCACTCCACAGTTAGGCACACACCAAAAAGGAATGAGCGTATGTCCAAAAAACATGTACAGAAATGCTCATAGCATATTTATTCACAACAGCAAAAAACTGGAAACAACCCAAATGTCCATCAACAGGAGAATGGATAAACAGACTGTGGTATGCTCATATAATGGAATACTACTCGGCAATAAAAAAAGAAGTAACCACTGAGGATGCAACAAGGTAACCTAACAAGCATTGTGTTGAGCAAAAGAATCAAGACACAAAAGAGCACATACTATATGATTCTATGTATACGAGTTCAAGAGCAGGTGAAAGTGATCTATGGGGTAGGGGCTCTCTGGACTGGGAAGATGGGTTAGAAAGAGGCATAGGGAACATTCTCATGTGATGGAAATGTTCTGTGTTTCGGTGTATGCATTTGTAAGAGTTCGTCAGACTTAAGATTTTTAAATTTTACTCTGTGTAACTTATACCACAGTTTAAGAAAACACTCATGAGGTGCCTGGGTGGCTCTGTCATTTGACTGTCCAACTCTTGATTTCAGCTCAGGTCATGATCTCAGGGTTGTGAGATTGAGCCCTGTGTTCTGTGGGTTCTGCGCTGAGCATAGAAACTGTGTCTCTCTCTCCCCCTACTCCTTTCTCCTGTTTGTACTCTGTCTCTAAAAAAACAACAACTCATATATGTATGTGGATGTGTTTATGGCATATATAAACATACTGTATGTACACTCACTGTAAATACACATATATATCATATATGTGTGCATTATATATATTTATATACTACATATGCACATCTGTATGTCTTTTACCTCCATATAATACATATCAGATACATATTACCGCTTCCAAATCTAATTCAAGAAGGTATTCTTCTGGCTACTTTTCTTTTACCTCCAGGCACAGTTTTGATTCTCATTTTCTCAAGATCAGTCTCCTTCTCCTTAAATTTTGATTTTATTCTTATGATATATTATTGGCAAAAATGAATTTTAAGCTTTTAATATTATCTAAATGGGTGGCTCATCAGGGGTCATATAGTTTTACCTTCAAAAACACCAGGGAACAAGCCCCTTCTGTCTGAACACACTATACAAGCTTTCTTCTTCTGAGATCTTACTGCCATGCCAGGATCCACCAGAAGTGGGAAAGGTCCTCTTGGCTCTCAGACCTCCATGATGGTTCTGACCTACATTGTGAAGACACATACTGTTCCCTATGCCTGGAAAACCCTTTCTTCTTTATTTGTCCAACTTCTATACATCCTTCAAAACCCAAGCATCCTTGGTATCCTCTACGTATCCTTTCTCTGCTTTTCATGGCCTCTGCATCAGCTTTATTTCCACTGGACTCCAATTGTCTATTTCACCTCTGTGAACTTCCCCAGCTTGTGTCAAGGGGCAAGTCTGCATGTGCTTTGCAACCCCTTCTTGGCTCGTGCCCAGCAAACATGAGGGTGCAATTTGTCTGGAGGTGGCTCCAAAATGATGGCTAAATCCTCAGTTTTCAATGTAGCACAGCTGTTTCACAGGGTCTTCATAAATGAAAAATCAACATTGCAAGAGTTCATCTAGAGATTGGGAGAAATGAAATGTTCACAAAAATAGAAGTGTTGTGAGTGCAACTGTGTAAGTGGGAAGCCTCTCTTTTCTGTGGAGACTAATTGCCCCCAATGGGCTAATGGCAAATGATGAGGAATGAAGGATGGCAAAATTATTTATAAAGATTTGGCTCCTGTGGCTTTGATAAATTCATCATGAAATGCCCTGACAAACCCCCATTCCAGGGGAGCCCATTGCTCCTGTGATCACAACTTGAGATGTGTTTAAGTTTCTGCCTTGGGTAGAGTTCCAGAAATATCAAATACTGGAGTGTGAGGATGGGGGATAAGAGCTTGGGAAAGCTGGACAACTGACTATTTGGAGATGCATGTTATCAGAGAGTGCAGGCCTTTGACCCATCTGTTCCAAAACTTCACTCATTTTCCTCCCTACAGCTCTGGGGTAGAAAGACACATACAGGCCTGCTTTTGGGAACTTAAATACAGGCTTCCAACCTAGAAATCAGATGGACATTAGTGATTCCTGGGGGTAAAAAGAGAAAATATCTGAGTAAAAGCCTCAGTTTTACCCAAGATTTGTGATCCCAGAGATCTTGCCAATGCATTCAACCTCCATCATCTTGCCACCACTTCCAGGCCTCCAGGGATTTCCTTCAATGTAGGAAGTATTTTTAGAGAAAAAAAGAAAGAAAGAAAGAAAGAAAGAAAGAAAGAAAGAAAGAAAGAAAGAAAGAAAGAAAGAAAGAAAAAGAAAGAGAAAAAAGTTAGTCGAGGGAAGAGGATGAAAGAGGTCAGGTGGAGATGACCGTCATCTGAGCAGCTCAGGCCTTCTCCAGAAAGTACTGGGCAGACAAAAGTGATAACAGGAGGGGCACCTGGGTGGCTCAGTTGGTTAAGCTTCCAACTTTGGCTCGTGGTTCAAGAGATCAAGCCCCATATTTGACTCTGTGCTGTCAGCCTGTCAGCTCAGAGCCCACTTTGGATCCTCTGTCCCCTCTCTCTCTGCCCTTCCCCTCTCTCTCTCAAAAATAAACATTTAAAAAAAGTGTTAACAGCAGTTGAAAGTAACATCTCTCCATACGTTCATGGAAAACGGTATCTTGCTACTTGTGATTCTATTCTGCTCTAAAAAAGTGGAACTTGGTTCTATGAATCTTGAAGCTCCAATATCCAGGAGGAGGCAAACAGGAAAGGAAAGCCTGAGGAACTGCTGCATGATCTTGATGCCTGTTTAGTAGGATGCTAAGGCAGGGCGCTTCTGGACCGAGTTTCAGAGGATGCTTCACTATGCTAGCCATCAACTAGGCAGGGAAATCTGAACCACCTCCCTGTATGTGCCAAGGAAGTAGGAACCCTCACCTGGGTCAAGGATCTAAAAACAACATCAGAGTGTGGAAAGAGATAGGATTTGAAGAGAAATTCTTTGCAGAAAACTGCA